CCACTTTTAAATACCGGGTGTTCAACTACAGTGTGATTACTAAAACTGGTAAACGCAAACGCGGAAAACGGGTGCTTCGTTACACTGTAGCATCTTAAAACATCTCATTCCGTCTGCGAAAGAGAAGCAACTCAGCACTACACTGCAATCTGCAATCACTTTTTGTGATTATTATACCATTTTTTTAGCTATTCATCATATACAACATATTTTATAATTGCAATGAATTAACATAAAGTTAATAGATTTAAAGGTTAAACTTTGCCATTCTAGATTTTTTTCTGTTCATTGCCACACCTAAATATTGGCATTGCCAGTAAAGCAGGATGTAATAGAGTAGCTTATTTTTAATAATCAATAGCTGCAATAAATAAATGTCATAATCTACTATCAACAGTTTTCTTGCAACGCTTTGTCGGAGAAAAGTGTGGCCCTCTTGGGGAATTATCTCTTACATCGAATTAACGTACACACCCGGATCATACAAAATTTTACTTTCAACCTCTTAAATATGCGTCAAGTAGGACATTTTTGTGCTAACGCACGTTTCCGATCACACAACTCTCTTTTACTGCGATCTTTCATGTCGTAACACTAAAAAATATCCTATAATCGTAACCGATTTAATAAAAGGAGTGGAGATTGAACAAAATCGAGGAGGAAAGATCCGCGTTTTATTTAAAACAGTTATTAGACGTTTTACCTCATAATCCGGAATGCCGATAAGGTATAGCGGAACAAAACGGAGGTCTCTATGTGACAACAGATATCCGCTACACTAACGTGCGAATTGGGTTATTTTAAGCGCAAGACCAACAGAACACGACAGCTTCTCCATAACCATGCATTCTCTTATCTCTTAAGTGCTTTCATGCCACAGTGCGACTTTTGGAATAACTGCAGCTTACGGGGTAGTGGGAAATTGCATAGCTGTAATTCCGTCGAGCTTTAAAGCGCCTTGAACAAACTGCACTTTAAAAACATAATACTCAAATATACGTACTAAAGTATGATAACAGTAAGACGTACCTCGCAAAATATTGAAAGCACAAGGGATTATTTCACGTTATTATTACAACTTTTTGTAACCGCCGCGCCGGAGTGCTCTAGTATGTTTACTTCAATCTTCCGTTGTCTATCTAGCTGTCTTTAATAATTTGTTGTTGCTAAAGTGGAGTAAAGTCGAATTCTCTCGCGTGTCATTCGTAATAAATTACTCAATTTCTTAGTGTTATGCGGCCCCACTGAGTTGCACACTATTAATTCACGTAGGGGTAGCTCGTGGGCAGGACGTTTATGAAAAAAGTGTTATTTCTCTTTATTCAGTAAATTAACAAATTACACTGTACTATGAATAGCAATAAATAAATCAGATGTATGATAACAATCGCAAGTACATATAAATTATTTTTGGGTGAGTATAGGTGTATTATTTGTTCGAAGACCACTGTATGTTTCTAAATTGTTTAGTATTTCGTCGTGGCGAAGTACGATTGGCGTTCGACTGCGGGTCATTCTCTCCCTGCGGTGCGTTTTGGATAGACACACTAAATTGCGGTTTTGATAATTCCATGCTGGTCTAATTGCAACATCTTTAAATGTTCTGGCGATTGACCAGTTGCTTGAATGGTTCTGAATTGGTTTTGGTTCACAAGCTTCTTTGGGGTTCTTCAAACATGACTAATAGGTAGTGGCGAGGGTGTAGTTTCTGACCATCTGTAGGTACTGTTTTTGTTATAGTTTGTTCTGGGAATCTCTCCAATATACTTTTCGCCAATAATTATTAAAACATAAGATTTTTACCTGTTAATCTTTGTACATACCTTGTTGTTACGTTTGTTTATTTTGGGGCATTCAATTTAAACGTTGCGGGTTGATTAAAACCCTCTATATCATCGATCACGATCGAAATAGGGAGATTAGCGGCAATGTGGCTCAGTGGTAGAAAGTTGGGCTACTTAGCCGGGAGGTCGCGTGTTCGAACCTGGGTTGAAGTGAATTTTGCATCTGTGGCAGACATGGGAATTTCCTTAAATCAGTTTCGAGCATTCTTTCGGCTACTCCGAATTAGCTTTTCCTGCAGTTTTGCTAATTCGTAAGGTAAATACCGGAGTAGTACAGAACAACTTAAGACCTTCTGCATGGCCACCTCTAAAAAGCATTATGCGGGACACTCTGTAATTGGGCCAAAGCCTGTTGAGGGCCCAGAACAGGAGAGGGACAATAAATAAATAATTAAAAAAATTAATTAAATTAATTCTTCGTTTGGTCTATTGGGGTTTATATTCAATTTTAACTTTTAGCTAATTTTGATAAATGAAAATATTTTGTAGCAGATGGGGAAATTTAAGTAGGTTTAATGAAGTGATATTCACGTTTGTTGTAGATAAATAAATCCGTATTTCATTGGTTAATTTACTTGTTACTTCCTTGGTATCTTCCCCGTTTTACACAGGGACAGTTAAGCAGGTAAGGAAACTGGGTGGCGCTCAATCGTCTTATAAGTTGCTGAGAAACTACGAACATTTTTTGCCCTACGAATTAACCGTTGTAAACACCTCGTGCCCTTTTACTTTCACATCCTTGAGCTAGCTGGCCGTTTATGAGGCGAGGGAATATCATTCATATACCGTATCGAGATACACGTCGTTTAATCAAGCAACTGAAAACGTGAGTGAGAACGTATGGAATTTTAATTGCCATCTTCCGTATACAGTGTATCCCAGGTAGAACGCGCCATAGGGAAACGGCAATGTATTTTTTCGCGAATGATCCACGAGGTCTGTGAAGTTAGCGTCTAACGTACTACTCCAATCTGTTTCTAGCATGAGGCAAGCGCAATAACATACGTTGAACGCTAACTTCAAATACATGTTAAAGCGCCCCTTGATCTTTCGCAAAAAAGTACAGTAATGCTGTTTCCCTAATTTGGGGATTCTAGTTCGGATGGGATTTTTACTTTTACTCCGAGTGAGGATGTACATAACTGCATTCTTTTCTCGTTATCACAGGTACCGCCATTTGCATTTTGTTTACTTAGAGCATTGAATAAGCACCTTAAAGAAGTATAACGCCCGTGTTAACTGATGAAATAAGAAAATCTGCCCAGGATTCTGTCGTCCCTCTGTTGTGGGGGAAAGTGAACCACAAAGTTAATGCTAGTTACCGACTTTGCAGATTTCTTTACTTTAAAATTCCAACGTTGCCAGATTTTTGGCAAGTGCTTTGAGTTTGAATAAACTAGATTAAAATATTGAATAAGCTTTTATTCAATGCCAATAACAATATTATATAAGGGAGGATCAATCTGAAATGTAAGATGATTTAGAAAACTGAACAAACTAGTTTATTTATTAAATTTTTTTCTCTAAAGGTGATCGATTTCAGGACTAATACCTATCATCAGGCCGTGCTGAAATAAATGTCGTACATTAGGTGAGTGTGGGTCTAAAGTTCCGTTATAATTACCGTTAAGTGGTATGCAGAAATTATAGATAAAATTGATGACAAACATTGTAAAAAGTTAAAATGACTTAACAAACAGGTAAATGACTAGCTTTCGAGATCCCAAATTTGCAAACGGCATGGTTGTGAGTTACTCACAACCATGCCGTTTGTTATACATTAATTTTAATTATAAATCATTTATATAGTCTTTCTTCAAATAACACAAGGTTTGTTTTACAATTCATTTAGCACGTAATAGTATTACCTATTTTTTACAGATTTTCAACTTTACTTGCCAATTTTTTTAATTCAACATGGATTGCAAATTTTGGATCTCGAAAGCTAGTCATTTACCTGTTTGTTAAGTCATTTTACAGCACGGCCTGATGATGAGTATTAGTCTTGAAATCGATCGCCTTTAGAGAAAAAAATTTAATAAATAAACTAGTTTGTTCAGTTTTCTAAATCATTTTATCATTCAACAAACTACAAATGGAGACCTTCATTCAACGCTGAAATGTAAGATCATAAGGAACAATAAATAAAGTAAAAAATGTAGTTTGATCTAATAAGAAAACAACAAGTACTGTACTAAGTATTAGTGATAACATTGTGCGATAAAAAACAAGTGCTGGAACGTGATTATTCCAAAGAAAAACACATTATGTACTTAAAAAAACCATCAGAAATTGTATATAAAATAGTTCATTTTACTTTAAAAATATTTGTTAACTATATTAAAAAGAATATGTCGGTACCACATTTCAAGCAAAATCTGTTACATATATGTATAGAAAGTGTTAAACAAGATTTTCCAAGCTTTTACAAAATAATTCATGTGAAAATCATAATATGTTTTTAATTAACCCCCTTATTAATTCTAAATGGTACAAAACTTTAAAATGGATTTCGCAGGATCTTAAGTCGAACGTGACGTATAAAGGAGGATCACTAACATCAATAATAAATAATTCAATTTCAATGTTATTATGTATTATGCAACAAACTACATAGATAATTAAAAAAATTGATGCAAATTTCTAATTACATTCGCTTCAATAAAACGGACTAGGTACCGAAATACTCGGTGCAAAAAAAATATGACAACACGGTTCAACTCTGATAAACAAGGAAAACAAAGGACCCCTAAGTATAACTGGTTTCCCTGTTTAAAATAGTCATTATTTACCGCCCGAGGTCAAATATCCTTTAATATTTGTGGTAATTAACCACTTTACACTGTATGCAATACACCTTACACCAATTTCATGTTTTCCTATAATGTAGTTATACTTCTTTAAGGTGCTTATTCAATGCTTAGAGTGTATCTTCTTTAGGTTTCGGCTGTAATTTGTATACTGCAATTTCACCGACTTTGTCATCTGCTAAGATAACATTATTACAACTTACCGCACAAGTAATGTTTGTATTAGAATACATGACATATTTAAAATAAGAACCGGCTGTGCATTAAACAAAAACCTAAACTACACGAACGTGTACAATCACCTACCCGATAACGCCTCCCCTTTTTAGTCCATTGTATATTAGTACGGTTTTAGTTTTCGTAGACAATCCACTTAAAAAATTCACTTTTGACAATGATTTCCATTCTATTAATTATGATAGTTCTAGCGCCAGCTACCTTCGCAACAGTGACACCATGTGAGTATTAAAAGCTAGTATTTATTCAATTGAAATGTGATTGTAGGCGGGGAAGGATCAAACCTCCTCAGTTTTTTCGAAGTCAGTGGCTGTGACCCTGATTCTCTATGTAAGATAGCTGCAGGTAGTGAAGTTACTGCGACCGCCGGATATATATCATGTAAGTTTTTCCTTGCTTTTGAAATAGTAATATTAGTGATCTAAACGCCAAACCAAGAAGTTACTACTGGACAAGGAACTTTTTCCAAAAGGCGAATAATTCACTAATTCATGTCATCTAGAGCTATAGCGCCACGTAATTCGTCTGAAAGAAAGATTAACTCATGTTAATCAAGATGGGTAGGAGCCCTTAGCTTTCCACGCAGTATGTATCATGCCTGCTAGAATGGAGTGGCGCTATAACCCCTTAAACTATGAACCACACGACCAACTCCTTCTTGGTGTGACGTATGGGTATTAAACGTCTCTTGTTTAATTAACGCTTACATTTGTCGTATTGAACTTTCAGCCGCACAAGTCACCTCTGTAACCATCACCCGTATTTTAAAATTCGAATCCGGTATGGTTTTATCGACTGCAAGACTTGAAGGCTGCGATTATGCCCAGTGTCTCCTTGAGTCCAATGTAATGGTAAATGTAGCGCTTTCTTTCAAAGTACCCGTATTCGTTCCCAAGGTATGTTGGTAACTCTAATTGCCTGATGAAATACTGCATGGTACGTTATTTTGCAGGGACGTTACATTCTGCAGATCGAACTGAGCACTGATCACATTTGTTTTACAATGTTAATAGAAATTGTTTAATTTTTTAACGGTTCATAAATTCAAGTGTCAAAGGGATGTTAATATACGTTTGAGTATGATTGTCGTTTTTTCTTGCACAGTTAAGCTTATTGGATCTATCACCTATGAACACTAAAAATAGTTTTGTTTTGGTCTAGAGTAGCATAGATTAATAATTATTTATTATACAAGACGATAAAGGAATGTTTTAATCACCAAGTGAATTAAGTTTCACGAGTATGGTTAGTTTTCCTTTATCATCGTGTATAATACAAAACGTCATTTTATAGCAGAAGCCATATAAATCGTTATAAAGCTTCTGAAAATTGTGAAGTCAAAAATAGCAAGTTTATTTTGTCCCGTCGTTTCCATGGAAATATTGTTTTCTGTTTTGAACTTTATTTTATTTCGTGCGGCGCGTCCTATTTTAATAAGACTGACTGATTTCATTAGAATGCACGATGTGTTTCACTTTATCTACTCATAACGTAGGTACACACCTACAGGTACACCTTTCAATTCTACCTGTAGCAGGTGACTTATCAAGTGGACCTGGGAATACGGATGAGCTAAAACTGTCAGTTTTCGCAACTGCGAAGTGACCTGACGCTTACCATGAAAATCGACAGGTCGCAGGCGCACCTGTCCATAGTATGTCTAGGCACCTGTCGCACCCCACCCTTCGACTACGAATTCTGGGGATACATTAATCCCTAAACATTGGGTCATTTATTACCCCCTCTTTTCACGACTTACCTTCTCGATCGATCACGATACTGTGATATCACAATCATTTCTTTTTTGCCTAAATTACAACAATCGCTTGATTTCGTATACTAAAGTAACGTTGATCACAATAGTTATTTGTATACTTAGGCCGCGAAGTAATTCTTTAACGTACCGAAAAGAAGATTGGCGCCGAGGCCGCTTGCGGCCGAGGCAAGACAACTTTGAGGGTGTTAAAGAATGACGCGGCCGTGGTATACACAACATTTTTTGTGCAATTGCGTAGAATCGTCAATAAATAAAAATGAGATTTCAAAAATAATAATTTTCGTCGCAAATAGAAAGACGGCCAGTTTTCATTTTACCATGGAAATAAACAATGAATAATTTTTCGTGAAAGAAAAGTCAAAATGTGTGACTCCGAAAGTGATTCTTCGATATCCACAACTCCTCCGGAAATAAACTTGTTGCGAATTCTGCTGTGTCGCAGTTAGTACCTGAAAATTCGAAGCGGCAGTACGAAAAATGCTAAAAGGACTTTAAGTGTACCTGTCAAGTGTCAGTTTGAGTTCTAATGAAAATCAAAATGTGACAGTTTCAAAGTATAACGCTTCTAACACTTTAGACTTTATTTCAGGAGTAAGTATAAGTAACAATACGAACTGTACGATTAATATTAACATTTATCCAAAAGATTTGTAATTAATTACCTACATGCTGATTGTCAAAATATATGTGACATTGTCTTACTTTAACGGCCGTCGCTATGACAGCGGCCGCGAAAGTGAATTTCGCGGCCGCCATGGCGAACGCGAAGTTGTTGTTTCGCGTCCAATTGCACAAAAAATCTTTTTTTTGCACTAACTCTCAGGAAAGTTACTATAACATGAGTTTGACTCTTCCAGCAGTGACAGTTTTGCGGGCGAAACGCGTTTTTAGCACATTTTCCAAAAGGAAAGGGAACGCTATTGTCCGCACTTTGTCCGTCTGTACCACTACTAGTCCTCCAGTTTAAGCTTTTTCGTTGTTATGTGGTTTCTTTCTTATATGGTGTAGTACAGCCCAGAGACCAGAACGACAAAAGTTTATTTGGATTGGTCACCTCCTTCCCGTGCGCGGAAAATACGCTTTCGTCGGTTGTGAGTGACCACGTTTTTAACTTGTTTTGTTTTATTGAGATGAATGTAAATAGTGAATACTCGTTTCTGTAGGAGTTGAAACGCAGACATTACTTCTAATTTTTGGAATAAAATTATCTGTTATCCACAAATATATCTGCCCACACACAAAAGATGTTTGTATCTACAATTAGACACCCATTTTCTGAACGGTAACGCAAAAGCTAATCAAAGATCACAACCCTCCAACAGGGGCCTAATTAGAATGTTAAAGACATACTCGTTACATTCGACTTCTGTTTAATTAGAAGGTAGTATCGTATATGAGAGTTTTGTATAAATTTCGCGAGGTAGAAAAGAAAAATTGTAACAACGTAACTCTATTAATACTATACGAATAATTCGCCCACGGCAAAGAAAATGCTTGGAAAAGAATTCACTTTCTGCTATTTCGTCCCGCATACTCGCTACGCCAAATTGGTAGAAATTAGAAAATATAATATTTTGTTATGTTCAGAAACAAAAATAGCAACACATATCACAAACAATTTGTCTCAAACTGGTGTGGTAGCAGTCATACGTCATTTTCTTATTTGATGTAATCTATCAAACCTACTCGATATATATGATACATCATTAGTTCCTCGAATAAATAGCACTAAAACATTTCCGGAGCTGGCAAATATATCGCACATGTGTATCAGAATATTATTGGCAAGTGCCTATCATGCAAGCACATTCGGATGGATAAAAATTGAATTTATTTGATAAACTTTGTATTTTGTAATCATGTTTAAAACCAGACGTGCAATCAAGATGTTCGGATGCAGAGCGCATTGGGATGTGAATATGCAATACAATAAGGCAATTTTAAATTTTCTAGAGCATCTTGAAGTTATAGATATTTTATCGTATATCTCAATCGGTATATTTCCGTTATAGTTTTATTTTTCTACGAAATATCTTGCGCTGGACACTGTACTAATATCTTCAGTAAATTACACAAGGAACGAAATCTTTTCTCACATGTGGAAAGTTGAGAACGAAAGCTATAACGTAATCTAACACTTGATGGGTGCGGATTTTCAGTTTATATAGGCGTTACAGAAATTCCATGTCCAACAACTTCTCTAACAAGGTATTGAAATTTATATAAGGTGGTTCGTCACTATTTGCAACCCTTAATTTAATTATTATTGATATCTTTCTTAATATTCGAATAACGAGACAAATACAGCAGGTGCCAATTAGGATTGCATTATGCCATTTCTCTGAGACTTGAATTTTTTCCTCACTGCAATTTTGTGGGCCGTGGCAACTGGCAAGAGCTTTAAAATGGTACCATACGTGTACACCGTCTACTTTCGGTTACTGATGTAAACTGGAAGTCGTGCAAGCGTAAAAATGTCATATACCGTTAAATTGGCGAAAGGTTTTGAATTTTCTTCGCCCTGTATACTAACAGAAAAAGGGTGCCACCAGCCTCTCTGACTTCTGATATGAATTTTTGTCATTGAAAATTCTCACTATATTACCCAATTGAATTTCGTTTTGCAGAAGTATCAGTACATGTGCATTCGGTTTTAAGATCCAGCAAATACGCGAAACGGACATCCTGTTGGTTCTGTTCTGCGTATACGGTACACGTCTGATCCGGTAAAAATTGACTCCATGTGAACGAGCTGTTTCCACAGGCGGGCGGGCAGCACGAGCGTTTGTAGACCTTCATTTTAGGTTGAGCACACTATGAAACGCTAGGGACGAATATAGTCGAATTCTTAAATAGAATATAAGGTTTTAGGCTATATTCAAATTCGTAAAGGCCCTAATAAGGTTAGATTTACTGGGATTATTTTTGTATGAGTATACAAAGTTACAAAGACCGCAGTTTTCTTGGATATTTGAAGAATTTGGGTATTGTTTGACTGTACTAGATAAGTAGCTGCCAAGTCGCTGGAATATTTATTAAGCCAAATGCCATTTTCTTAAATTGAAAGAGTCCACGCCCAAGAATGGTGAAGGCGGTATATTCACGACTGGATCCCTTGCTGACTATTTGATAGAATGCAGATTTTAGGTCTAACGAACTTGATAATTTAGCTCCTTTTAACTGGTCGAGAATTGCTGACGCATAAGCCAAAGGATAGGCGTCTTTCTTGGTGACTATTTAATTTTCGATAATCCCGAGGATAATCCACAACAACTCCCTTTCCAATAAGCTTAAATTTTTCCGAAACTAATGAGTTAGTCTAGCAAGTTAATCCTCTGTGAGGTCAGTAGGGGTATTTACAAACTATCTTGCAAACACCACGATTTAAATTTGAAATTACGCCCTTGGTTTTACAAAAGTTTAGTCCAAGGACTAACGAATGATATCCAAAATTGGATCAGCCTATTGAACTGGTACTGTCATACTACAGATCACATCACAACTAAATGCCGTTGGTCAAGGTACAAAATGTACTGTCCGTTTTTGTTAGAGGAATTTGCATATATTGTAAAATATACCAATACTCATTAGTGAATGTGTTGCACCGGAATCGAGTACTCCAAGAAATTTCTGACCAAATATATATAGATGTACATGGTCGTTGGCCATTTCCAACATGAGCCAAAATGTACCTAACCCAATACAATTTTCTTTCTATTAGATTTGAGATCGATGGTTGATTTTGAAATGGATGAAGAATGTGGATTGCATTTAATACAGTTTTACTAGTAACATTTGGACAGCCACATTTTGTATCAATGTAGTATTTTAGGTTGCCTACATTGAAGTGCTGTATGCCCAGAATTATTACAATTCCAACAAATTTTTTTATCCATAGAAGCGGGACGACTGCCAATTGATGGATTATCTAAAATTGCTGTAGATGAGTATGTGACTAAAATAGCTGAAAAATCTGATTCGACCCAACCTGATTTTTCCCTTGCAAGAAGGACATAATTTTCAGCTGGATACCTTTTGGTTTCAAGCATTAAACATGCCAATTCAAATAGTGAATGTATGGTGGCATTTAAAGTGTGTAAAATGGAGAAAGGTTGTGAACTATTTTCAAGGACCATAACGTCTAAATAAAGAATTTATCCAAGCAAAATAATCGACAAACCGCTCATTTTCTTACCTCTTGAGTACGATTGATGATCTCTTAGAGTAATCGAGGCTTATAATTGGGAGGCTCATAGTGTTTACGTAAAAGTTACCAATTTGCAAAGCGATCTTTGTTGGAC